GGCATTCCTCCTCCGTGTGGTTCAGCTTGTGGCAATAGCCACACTTCTTGCCGGATTTCGGCTGCTTCCCATTCGATTTCGATGTTGACGGCATACCTGACAGCTTGGCGGCAAGCGCGTGCTGCGATCCCTCCTTGAGGCGTTCGCGCTCTTCGGTAAGAATCTGGTTTGTGACCGTCTCCGTGGTGAGCTTGTCGCTCGTCGACATGAGGATGGTGCGAAGTACTGAATATGATGGAGGGAGCGATGTGACCATGGCGACCGCGATCAGCGAGTCTTCGAGTGGCTGTCCAAGGGTGGCCAGAATGTTGGCCTTTTGGACCATGCCATCGAGCTGTACCTCCATACCGGTCTCGTCAGAGAGGGTACCACGGAATAGCTCACCGATGAGGTACGCTATCGTCTGTTTCCCCTTCCCCTCATACCGCGCGGCGAGTTTGTCCCATACAGACTTCGCCGTCTTCTCGTACATGATGCCGCTCAGAGGCGTATCTTTGAGTGTGAGCGTGATCTGCGCCTTTGCGTCTTGATCCTTGTCATCCCATTCGGCCTGCTTGTCAGGTTCAGAATCTGCAGGTCGAGATTCCTTACCCTGGGTGATGTTCCAGAGTTTCCTGATGCGTAGCACCGTCTCGAGACGGAACTTCCATTGCTGGTAGTTTGCTCCATCATCCTCGAGGAATGGTATGTTGTAGAGGCGGTTTGAGCCGAGAGAGAGTTTGACAGATTTGGACATGGCGTGAGAGGGTGTGGAGTGAGAAGGTGTAGACTGTGGTGCAGGAGGTGCTGGTGTGGGTGCTGGTCGAAGAGAGAAGATTTAAAGGAGTGTGAGCACAGTGGAAGCCTCAATGAGTGGACAGGTTGGTGTGTAGCTCCGGGGCTCATAACCTATTGTCCGAGGTGAAAATTTACGAGGGCTGTAGACACATAGGAATGAGTGACTCAGCCTCGATGTATGATGCGAGTGCTATATAAATACCTGTAGACACATAGGAACGAGTGACTACAGTGTATAAGTAAAAGCATGTAAGGAATCCAGTAGGTACTTACCTCAGCCTCGATGTATGATGCGAGTGCTGAGGTAGCAGGAAAAGATCGAGCGCGCTTGTGGCTATATGATTACATAAGCGAATGCGCGCAGAACGTCTAAGTCCGTGTCCCACTGGACATAAAGTCCGTATGACTTCCAACACCTCTGGTATATCTTCGGCTCCCGTGGCAGTCTGGCATGCGGAGAGGAATGCAAAATCAGCGGAGTCATAGGACTGAGAAATGATCTGTGAGAGCTTCAAAGACCCTCCATGCAGTATGAACGAGCTTTTCGTCGGCTCGCTCTTATTCTGCACTCCGTGGCAGGCGAGATGAACCCAGCTGTATTGTTTCAGATTTTCGAGAACGGCGTCTGCTGTCCCTTCCGCATCATCCAGCGCATAGGAGGAAATATTCACGCTGCTAGCCAGCTGTCGGACTTTGTCTACCTCTACCGAGGCATTTGGCAGCGTAGCAGACTGGCTGATGGTAAGGAGACCACGGAAATCGCCTTTTGCAGCAGGCGCCTTGTCTTCAAGCTTGAGAGCAGCCAAGGTAGGAGTGTATGAAGAGGCCACATAGTCTGATGTTTTGAAGCCAGGATCGTTTGTCGTGTATTTTCCGGCAGCATGAAGAGGAAGAAATGCTAATGGACCTGTAGGGCACCACCACAGGCGCGGAGGATCGCCTGTCTCTGTGATCTGGGTATGGTATGAGCGACGTTTCGATGTCCTGAGGCTATCCAAGGGCAAGTCTTGAAGAAGCGATACTCACCGAATATCCCAGTTTTTGCAAAACTGGCTGTACGATAGATGCCCACAGCTCAGATAATATGCTATCCACGGTCTTGTAATCAGTCGAGACCATTTGTGCACCACGATCGTCTCTCTTGCGGATCCCAGAATTGGTCAGGAAGCGCTCAAGCGCTGACTGCAAACGATATATTCCATGCTGGCGCAGAGAAAGAGGAACAAGAGTGATGTCATTTGATCCTCCGTTGACGATCAGCGCATCGCAGCGGAGTACATGGACGTTGAGAATGACAATTGGTCCGCAGCGCAACGCGCCCAAGATGTCTGCGGATGACTTTGGGCGTAAGAATCCCTCCAATCCTGGGAGCTGTCTTGCTTCGGATACCAGCCTCTCCCATTCTTCCGCCCACCGGTGATGTTGCTGTGTAGCCTGCTCTATTGTGCAGGGCACTTTTTTCCGTCCTCCATCGGACAGACTCCTCGTGCCGGCCTCGTCCAACGCTTTAGAGATGCGCTCGAGATCTTTCGCGAGCTCGGGCGCCATCGTGCGTAAGTCGTCCATCGGGGTGCGAAGATGCATAAGCTGTCCCCAGACGATAGCGCGTGCTTGCTCTAACCACTCTAACGCGAGTTCAACTCTATTAGCATTGATTGCTACGGCTGCAGCTTCATTAGCGATCTTCCCAAAGGACGCCAGCCGCGCGTGCCGTGCATTTATCGTCTGTCCGACCCAGGCAAGACGAGGCATGAGGTCCAGAGCTGTAGCATATCCATCCAAAGATTGCGCAACATCGTCTCGCTTATGCTGACTGACCGCGCGCGCCCACCCGAGAGCAGCATCGAAACGATGTTCAGGTTCTCCATTGGTGGAAAGGGCGGCTTCACGGAAATGTAAAATTGCCACGTCGAGATCATTGACCTCAGGCTCCTTTGGCAGGCGCTCATACCTCTCCATCAAAGCGACAGCTAGACTATGGAGACATCCCGGCTTCCGAGCATGACCCTCTGGTATCAACCGCACAGCAGACTTGAGTGTTGTGATGGCCTGGTCAATGTCCCCTACGCTGCCAGATTGATGAAAACGCCGCGCATAGGAAGCGCCCAGGTTCATTAACCACATGGATTTATCCATATCATCGTCTGAGGTTGAATGAGCGGCCTCTGATTGCATGGTAATGGCATCTAAAAGATCCTGCTGATCACCAGATAGCTGATAGCGACGATAATGTGCCACTCCAGCATTGTTTAATCGTGTGGCCCTGTCCCTATGTCCAGGAGAGGTAAGTTGTAAGGCCAACTGATGATGTGACACGGCATTATCAAAGTCTGAGAGACCTTTGGCGCGAAGCATATACGCGTTTGCGAGATTGTTATGCCAGAGATGGAGATCCGCATGATCGCATGGAGTAAGTCGAATCGCCTCCGTATGCGTATCAATTGCTCGATTGATGTCTGCCGTCTCTCCCAGCAGCTTAAACCGAGCTGACAGTGCGTTTGCCAGGCCAACTAAACGTTCAGCCTTCTGCGCGTAATCAGCCGGAGTTATACTGATTGAGCCCTCTTCAAGTGAAATAGCCTTGTCAATATCCTCCAAACTGCCGTGATATCCATAACGAGCCAATAATGATTCTGGTAGGTTGCTCATGTGAACGGGTTTGTCTGGATGGCCGTCTGGAGCGTGATTTACGGCATTCTGATGCGCATCGATGGCTCTGTCAATGTCTTTCAGGTTCCCAAGAAGATCGAATCGACGCAAGAACGAGATGCCGAGGTTGTTTGAGAAAAGGGCTTTGTCTGAATGACCATCCGGTACGAGAGACAATGCCTCTGTATGGGCGAAAATCGCCTCCTCGACATCCGATATATTCCCCAAGTATTCAAAGCGGCGTAAGCACGAGGTCCCTAGGTTGCTCAGGCACTTGGACCTCCCTGTATGACCTTTGGGAGCCATTTGTAAAGCCATTTTGAAGGCAGTGATAGCGCTATCGATGTCTGGCATCTTGGAAGTGCGTTCAAAACGCCCCAAGAAAGCAGTACCGAGACTGTTGAAGTATTCGTGCCGGTCGACGTGACGATCAGGGATTAGCCGTGTGGACTCTTCAATGATAGAGACGGCACGATCGATATCTGTGAGCTCTCTGAACCGTTGAAATCTGCTCAATAATGCCACCCCGAGGTGGTTCATATAGGAATATCTTGCTGCGTGGTCTTCTGTGGTGGATCGAAGCACCTTTTCGTGCATTTCCACGGCCCGGTCGATATCTACGCTCTCCCCAAGTCGCTTGAAGCGGCTGATAAGGGATATCGCGAGATTGTCAAGACGTTGCGACATCCTCCTATCATCCTCTCCCGTTCCCCCGACTGCAGCTTCGAGAACAGAGATCGCCCTACGAATTTCGTTCAGCTCCCCAGATTGATCGAAACGGTATTTCAGTGCCATCCCCAGGCTCCCCAAGTAAGTGGCTTTGTTTTGGTCGTCCGGTGTGAGCTGGATAGCATTTTCGTATGCCGTCACTGCTGCGTCGATGTCCACGGTGTCCCCGAAACGCAAGAATCTACGCGTATATGCATTGCCTAGGTGCTGCAAACGGCCGGGAAGCTCTTCACTATCATCCTTCGTGAGCCGAATAGCGGCTCGATGAGTGTTGATTGTCTTTTCAATGTCACTTTGCTCTCCGAGGAGTTCAAAGCGGCGCAAAAGTATATGGCCATAGTTGGACAAGTATCCCGGCTTGTCATCATGCGCGTCGGGGATTGAAGCGACTGCCTTTTCACCAGCATCAATCGCTTGCTGGAGATCAGCAGCATCTCCACAGAGCTCAAAACGTGACAACAACAAGAAGCCGAGCTGGGTTAAATTTCCGGCTCGCGAAAGGAGATCACTAGGAGAGATGATTTTCTCGTATATGGAGATAGCCCGATCCAGATCGCGCCGCGTTCTTGTCCTATCGGCACGATCTGACAAGGCTTGCGCTAGCATTCCGAGACGGTGTTGGTGCAGTGGATGTACCTCCGAAGTGAGTCTTACGCTATCGTTGAGAGCTGAGATTGTCATGTTTAAGTCGGCACTGGCTTTGGAGTAGCGCAAGCGTGTGTAATAGAGGCGGCCAACCGTCTCCAAAAGATTTGGCTTCTCCGTGGTGTCGTCTTCTAAGCATGTGGCGTGTATGTACATACGGTTAGCACTGTTTAGACCATTAAGTATGGCATCGAGATCGTGCACTAAGAATAGGCATGAATACTGTGACAGTTCAAATTTTGAGCAACGTACTCCCTGGCTGAGCATACGTACGAGGGACAGCAGCACTTTCGGTGATATCTTGAGGCATCAGGATCCAATCGGCGACTAACTGAATCGGTGTGTCTCCTTCGACCATAGTGAGAGAGAAGTGTGCGGTTACTTTAGAACATAGATCAGCAATGTCAATAATGCATCGAACAGAGCGACTGACCGTCGTGATCCATGGATCTTGCGAGCACATCTTCGTGAGACAGCTTCACATATCCCAGTAGTCGGTTAGATGCTCCAAGGACTTTGGAAACAACGTCCAACCGCAGAGACGGATGGCCGCTGGGCCTGTTCGAACGGTCGTATGCAATATCCAAGAGAACGAGCTGAACCGCGTGCTCACACGATAATATGCCCACGCAGTTTCCAGTGTGATGGCGACACCTTAGCCATCGCGATACTAGCGTTTGCTTCCGAGCCATCGATATTGGTGACCAGGTGCAAACTGGCATCCTCAGGGAAACTGAAAGAGGCTCCCGACGAGGAGCGCAGAGCAATATCTGCGGACGATCAGCATTCATGCCAGTTGCCGTGCAATCGCATACCTTTGAGACAGATGATACTTCACGATGTTTTAGCCGATAGTGAATAGGCATAGAGAAGTAGCGCGCTCACCTCATAGAACCGTGCGGAGTGTTCAGTGAAGCGAGCAAGTCGAGATGTTGAACGATGGCGCTTGATATGAACGGATACTTATGTAATTCGGAATGCATGCGAGTGAACTTTGTTATATAGCTTCTTGCCACTTGCTTGCTACGGACCATCCTGGTCCATGAGCGAGTTGAAGTCAATACAGTGCAAACCCCAGTCGCTGACTCGCTGCTAGAAGCCACTGCATCGATAACAGCCTGTCAAGGAGACCGCTGGAGGGCCTTCACATAAGCCATCCATCTATAGGTCCCAAAAATGTGAAGTTATAGACGCGCTCTTTCCGAATGAAGGATTCAGAAAATATGGGAGTCTGTGCACATGCATTGTAGAGCAGCGTCACAGCTCACGCTGTGACGTCTCCTTGACGCGTCCTGTCACTAGTGACGACTATCCATCATGCATCATGTGGTCGCATGATTTTGGTCGCATATACTTAAATACTTAGTAGCATCCACCTAGCACTTAGCTTGATTGATGATCTACCACCCATGTCTAGTCACGACACCGTATCTTCTTCTTGAGTACAGTCGTGGACAGCCAAACACGACAATTTTTAGAAATATTTCTGGAATGTCCGATATTGTCACAGTATTAAGTGGCACCTTTCTTTTTGCACCATTAAAGTCCTTATTTGAGTGGTTATTCGGACACCAACCTTCATATTGGTCTCGCAACGTGGATACTTGGACAAACAGCACAATGCCACCACATACATCATGGACATGACTGTGTCTACCACATAACCACCAAGCGCCCATGATTTAGCCACCCAGTCACGTGACACTGGCCACTTGCCCATTCGGAAGTTGTCAGGCGTTGGTCACATGACACCAGGCAACTTGCCCAGAAAGGAACCCATTGGACCATCAAGCTAGCAAGCACCCAATTCGCCACTCAAGATAGTGGCACCACTTTGCTGCCTAAACCAATAGGCAATATCACAACAGAGGATCCCCCTACCAACCGGCATACAGTATAGCCAGGTACAGGATAGGCTAGATCTTCTCACAACCCTATCTAGATGAAGACTGATCGTCACACTCATTGTTCTGAGTTTGGACAGATCCTCTCATCTGATGTTGCAACTGTTGTGATGTGCTCTGTTGGCCATCACCCATTGGCCCCTCAACAGTGGGCCCACTTACAGGCATTTATCTCATTGGATTAGATAGAATTACCTCGGCGTATCCACGGCCATTGTAGATAGTGTTATGAAGCGTTCTCCACTAAAACCCTCCGCACGTGAAGCTTCCACACGTACGATCGAATCTCTGGTTTATAGTGTTGTCTACTGCAAGGCAGATGCCTTTGCCAATGGACGCTATCCTCGACAAGCGGTACGAGCTTGCCACCTCTAAGAGATAGTAGATTGCACAAGGGTTCTAGACAGTGAGAACGTCAGAGGCACAAGTGGAAGAGGTTGTCTTCCGCCTTGCGGCTCTGCCCTTTATATACTACCCACCTCATGGTCTGGGGTCCTAGTACATGGGGTCTGCTACACAGCCTTAGTGCTAAAGATAGAAGATAGAAAATAGACCAAGACGAATACTAACTGCTGCGAGCCAAGTAATTGGCGAGCGAATGTTAGTATAAACTGAAATAGAAAACCTGCAATGAACCGATATGGAATATACCAATATGCAATAGAGAAATATGAAATAGTCTGATGTGAAATAGAAAGAAATGAAAAGTATGAAACGTGAACATTAAACATACAATAAATCTTGCTAGATCTTCCCACAGTAGATGTGAAGCGTCTACCACTTGGTGGGATATCCCGAAATGGTATAGGGCTCTTCCCACACCACAGGGATGCTTGATCTGGTAACCGCACGTGCCCTTACTGTCACGTGATCGAAAACTTGAAACTTTTTGCTCGGGGCTCATTCGTGAGCTCCCCCCTTTCCTAGGTGATTGCCGCCTAGCTTCGTAACACAAGCTCCCTTCTTCACCCATCGAGACCCTTCGATGAAAGAACCAACTTGACTCCGGTGTCTTCCTGCGAATGGCGATGGATAGAAAAGTGAAAATTTGTTTCGACGCATAGACGTGTGGAGGCTTGTGTTCTACAAGCTCCCCCCTTTTCTAGCGTGGTTAGGGAATCTGGGAAGTGGAGCTCATCATTCCACGAGCTCTCTTCTGCATTTCTGGTAGAGCAATCCTTCGTGTCTTCTTCGGCTGTCCTACCCATAGGAATCCATATCCACATGGGTGCTTATCGTTCCACAAGCATTCTTCGAATTCCTGGTAGGCCATCCTTCGTTCCTCTTCGGATGTCCTAGCCATAGGAATCCATACCCATATGTCCCCTAGCTCCCACCTTCCTTACGTTTTCGACTCCGAAAACAAAAAATTTCTTGCTTTGGTCGACGTCCAATATTCAGCCCGATTTGTTGAATCGAAGGCATGATTGGTGACAGTTGGACAAATAGCCAGGCGAGTACGGTTGTCGACGATACCTAGCCAGGTTCTTCAATTAAGAAGTGGATGCTAGATGATATCCTTGATGTACATCTCTGGGATCCGCTAGCATTGTTCCAGAGAGTATAGATTGGGTTTCCGTGAACGTCCTTCCTGCCGTTCAACTGGGAATACTGTTCTTTGTGGAAGATTTGGTGCAACGTCAAATGAAGCCATTTAATGACGATGACTGCGTCCTGCCGCAAAGAGTTCTTCATCAGAATCTTGCCAGTTCTGATGCTTTTGAAGATGGATATTTCTTTGAGATCACCCTCGAGCTGTTCCAGCTATGGGCGATCTAGGTTTGTGGGCTTGGTCGAGCCAGAAGTCGAAGATAAACTAGGTCTGCTGACTTCGTGGTTGGTCGTGAATGGTGAAGCTTCAATGAAGAAGTCACCGGTCGTGCCTTAGATGTATTTTTGTCAGATACGTCCTCGGGTGGTCATACGATCTACATCTCGTCATCTGGAATTGTCGAGGAACTTCCTCCTTGTGTTCTGATAGAAGGTAGTGAAACTCCATCGTATGTCCGGTCAGTTGTTCCCTATAACAATCCTCGTATTCTCCTATGGCGGTTCCATGTGGTGGCAACGTCTTCAGATATCCGATTTGTCGTGTTGACAATTCTTTTGATTTGAATGGATTCGCTGGTCGTTAGATCCTGTCTTGTCAAGGATCCGTGAATTGCCTTCCCTGGGAAGGGCTTAGCACGTCTTCAACATGTGCCTCAGATGAAGGCTTCTCTTCTGGATTATCCTGAAGATAATCGCTAGCGTATGGTTCTTATTATTAGTGAATGCTATAATAAAAACTTGGTACTCCAACTTTTCTTCGGCTAATCCAACGGGATGTCGAACGTGAATACCAGGTGTGCCTTTTTGTTTCCTTTAACAGGTGGCCCCTAACCTGTCTTCAACCCTATCCATGCGGACTCGGCGATGAAATGGTTGTTCGATTGTTTTAAGTTGCCGATACAGGCACTGCTCTATCACAAACTTAGGACGCAGAGTGCTGACTAAGCCTATGACCTTATGATCAAACACTTACTGACTGTTGTCGACGTAAGGATGGACACAAAGATGATCAAGGTAAAGCAGTGCCTTGCAAGTGAGCACTGGTAACACTGTATGGAGAGGCGTAGCAGAGATGAGAATAAGTCTGGGGGACTTATGCGTCTCAGAGCTCTGGCTTATATACATGAGCGGAGGGACCCTTGGTACCCTGATACCTCAGAACTGCTAGCTAATGGACATTGTCTGATTGGTTACCACTACCTGTCAGACTACATGTGTCATGCATGCCGAACCTCCGAACTACTTAGTAAGACCATGGGAATGGTATTGCCTGTAATGGCTACATCTCCAGTGGCGTGGTATCTATCTACCTCATGCACGTGAACTAATATCCCCTTAAGGACATATCTCCGGTGGCGTGTATCCCCTTCGTTGGATTCTTCCGGAGTCCGACCGTTGCTTCTTGGTGGGATGATATTACTGTATAAGTTAGGCTTACCTAATACCAGCGCTACTTGTCACATGTGTGGGTGTCACGTGATATGTCACGTGACTAGACCTGGACCTTCGGGGTGTCTAGGACTGTTAGTACTTCGCGTACCGGTTCGTTCCTTTCTGAACAGCCTAGCGCTGATGTCAAATGATGTCTTG